AACGAGTAACGATTGATTAAAAATGTAAGGAATAGAAAGAACAGATACTGGTGTGGAAATGTAATGATTAGAAGAAGAAGTAGGAAGGAAAATAAGTAATGGAGTAAAGTATAGATACCTAAAAAGTGTACTTAAGTACAGTAACAAAGTATTTGTACTTTCTTATTTGCCACCTCTGTCTGTCATCTCCTGAATATTTTTTATCTATTTGAGATTTAGGGAAAAGGGTTTTTATTTTTTCATTCTGGTGATATCATGTTTTTCTGTATGTGGACGATCCGGCCTCCGATGGATCTGGAATCAGTCGACAGCAGCATTAAAGTCAGGAACATGTTTCTGAGTCATTCGTTGAACATATTTAGAGAAATTAACAGCCAGAAAAAACAGCCAACCAGGCCATAAAGTCACCAAATGGATCAATGAGACATCTAGAAATCCTGGAGCGGATGTGGAGTGGATCCAGAGCTCCTTCAGGAGAACTTCTGCTCCCACCGGTTTGGTTATTAAGCTCTGTTTAGACACTGGCTGTTCTTCTCCCTGCTGAGCCCAGACAGGTTATTTAGAGGAACCTGACCCCGAGATGAACCCTGCTGATTAATCCGTTGGTTTCCTCCAGGATTAGCTGCAGTGGATGGATGACCTCATTCTGCCTCCAGACTAAAACTCTCTCCGTAGGTAAACAGGTCCATCATCTAATGTGAAGATATGAAGGTTCGTTGAGGCAGATGTTAGACCTGGATGCTGTGATCGGTTCAGACACCAGATGTCAGAGAAAACCAGGCATGATAATACCAGCAGTGCTACCCATCAACCATCCATCCATTTACTGCCTGTTATTGGAGGCCTGGGCTCCGTTTCAAGAAGCAGGTTTAACAAACTCAGGTCCTCAACTCTACATTGATCTAGCCTAAAGTTGGGAACTCTGAGTCTTGGTTTCACAACAGCTGCTATCGATTAGTTCAACCAACTCAGATGATTCCTGATCAAAATCACACTCCTAGACTGAACTAAAATAGCAGAACCACCACTGTTCCCAGTAACCTCAACCAGTTCTTCCATTCAGGCTGATTCTGCTCAGTTTCTACCTTAGTCAGTTAAATAACCTGCTGCTGTCATTCTGCACATCTCTGATGTTGCTGCTATTTTCAATTTACTGTAAAAATGTCCATAGCTGCATATTGGTTATTTATTTTCCAGTTTTATATTTTTAAAACACTTT